TCAACGATAATTTGAATAAGATTATTAAATTAAAATTCATATTCAAATTGACGTTAAGATTGATTGATTAGTGATGACTGCATGTCTGCATCTGTCTGTAAAATTAGCGACTGAAAAGTTATGAGGAAAAAATTAAGTTAATGAAATTTATTGTGGGTATCATAGCTTCTTGTTGTTAACACGCTTTAGTAAGACTTTGTTTGGAATAACTTTTTTACTACTTTATATGCTTTTCAGATGACAACCGTAATTTCTGTTTGACCACAGTCTTCAAATAAATTTGTATTAGAAAGTTGCTTTCTGCAATAACTTTAAAAATTTAATTTCTCTACAGCAACTTTACAAAATAGTAAGAAAACTGTCTCAAACGAAATCCATATCTAATTGTGAAAATTTATTATCATTATAAAATTTTTTAAAATAGTAAGAATTTGATAGTCAAATAATAACATGATAATGACCCATAAAAAAACAAAAAAAAGGTGAAAAAGCAACTCCAAACTCATTAAGCTAAGCTCACTTGAATATGATCTTTTAGCAACACAAATTTATACAATAAAGAAATCACAATGCAATTTTCATTTGATTTATGTATAGTTTGAATTGTTCTTCGTATCCAATCTTTAATTCAATGAAGTTTTGTCATTAAATATAATCTTCTAGCCCTAAATCTTGTTGATCTGCTCTCACTTTCAGTACATGAGAAGTGGAGATTTCAACCTTTTTTTTTTTTTCTCTAAATCAAATTTTATTTGATATAATTCTTATGATTTTACCCCCCAGATCTGAATACAGGCTTTAATTGACAAGTCAGATCAAGAATTAATATAAATTTTTTATTGTAATTATTGAATTAAAGGAAATACAATTTCATTTTTCTTCACTTTTTATATTTTATTGAATTTATATATATATAAAAGATTGCTTCAATTGATATTTCACTACTTAGGCTTTGTTTGGGACGACTTTTTTTATTGCTTCTTAAAGCAGCTTTTTGGTATTATAAACTTGCTTTAAGAAGCAATAAAAAAACCGTCCCAAACGAAACCTTAATTTCGGTGAAAAAATAAAGAAGAAAATTTCAAATGATCATTATTAAATGATGGATAGTAAAAACACTTCATCATTTATTTCTTTTTGTGCCTTCGATCATTATAATGGATAAATATCATACATGAACTCTACGATAAACTCTTATTGCTTTGACGACCGTATCATTTTTCTTCGATGGGACTTAACGAGAATAGACCATAATACATGCACATCTTCGTATGGGCATGACTTCACATCTTCATAAAGGATGTATATCCCTCGTCCTACCAAACCAAAACCAACACCAATTAGCTAGAAAGGAGTTGTAGATCTAAATATTTTCCAATTAGAACTGACAACTAATCACATGAATGAGCGGTAAAAGAACTACAAATTAAAAATGTGGGAGAAATAAAAAAATCTCTAAAAAAGAATACGGTTTCGTTTGGGATAGCTTTTAAACACCGCTTTTTCGCTACTTTCAAGAAATTTTTGTACTAGAAAGCTGCTTTAAAAAACAGAAAGAAATATGTTCCAACCGAAGGCTATATGCTACATCACTACAACTAAAAGAAGTTCAATATCAATTGTAAGCACATATGAAGTTGGAGAGGGAGAGAGAGAGAGAGAGAGAGAGAGAGAGATTCATATAGAAGAAATGGAGAAACTTACTCTTCTTGTTGCCAAAATTCATGTGAAACCAGAGCTTCTTGAAGGATTGAAGCCAGCTCATTGAGAGGAAGAGGAAGTGAAGAGACTGGGCCAAGTTGAAGGAAATAAAGATGTGGTGAGCATTGGAGAGAGAGTAATTAAGAGGAAGTGGAGCTTCATGAATTGGTTTTATGTATGGGGAAGAAGATCTATTCCATAGATTTTGCATTGAGATTTGTATTTTAATGTCTTTATCAATGATGGAGAACTTAAGAACTTATTATATAATGCTAATGCACATTAATGGACTTAATGAATGTATTACTGCTAAGATATTTTATAAAGAATTCCTTAATCATATAAGCCTTCTGTTCTCATATCTTATTGGTTCCCAGTCACTCTCCTTTTCTTTTCCACTTAGATTTGTTCAGCAAAATCTACTGTAGTAAGTATTTGATCAGATTTGTCAACTTCTTCAGTTAAAATTTTTAAGTAAGAGAAAGAAAAATTTTAATTTGATAAAATTTACATAATATATATAATTATAAAAGAATTAAAATAATAAATAATATATTAAGGTTTCGTTTGGGATGACTTTCTTGCTAATTTCTAAAACAACTTTTTAGTATAAATTTTTTTTAAACTATAATTTTTTTACTAGAAAGTCACTTTAAAAAGCAACGAAAATTATTTGGGCCAAAATATTATGATTCAAATGAAATTTGCATAAATTTTATAATTATCATACTTATTTTAAGATGAGTATAAATAAGGGGATTTACCTAAATAGCTCCTAAAATATTAATATTTATATGTATACCCTAAACATAAAAACTAAGGGTTAAAATCCATAAACCCAATCATCGGGCCCATCTATTCCTTCGCCTTGGGCATTGTTGGTCACACCACCCTTCAAATGGCACAGATCACCCTCACGCTTGCTCTGCGATCCCATCTTCCGCTTCCGCTTTATGAAGCCCTTAGCAAAAAACGAAGCGAGAAAATCCCACTCATCCAATAATGACGTTGCACAAAAGCAAAGTTGCATGAGCTCAAAGTCGTGATTTAGCTCGCTGGGAGAAGACATCGATGAGCCCAATGACAACGAGATAGTGTAGTTCATTAACAAAATATTGAAGTGCTATATGGTGTAATTGTGTAAACACCATGTAAACATTGAAGTTTATATGTTAAATATATAAATAATTATAATTTAACTTCGATGTATGTTAAATATATAACTATATATTGACAAAAATTTATTAATATATTTGATTATAATTAATGACTGTGAGCCCACCTTATCAATCATGGCTCTCTACTTCTTCCTATTTTGCAGAGAACAAGTACTTCTAGAAACATCCAGGCCACTGCACAATAATACATGCAACGTGGCCCAAGGAAAAACATTACTCTAAATTATTTAAGCCATAAAAAAAATTTGAGTAGAGCTTTGTTAAATTAAAATTATAATATTTTTAACGCTAGTTTTATATATTATTTAATAGTGTTTTTTGAAGGCTTCAATATTACATCAGAAACTAATAGGTTCCCCTGCAATGAGAGAAAGTGTTAAGCAAAATGATTATTATAACTCTACATTTTTTGTTTTAAGATGAATTTGGGATAATAGCAAAAAAAAAGTTTTTATGAAATATTTACTAATTTAGGCTTTATTTAGGGCATCTCCAACCGAAAATCTTAATTTTCACTCCAAAATACAGTAATACACCAAAATGTAGTAATTCTTATCCAATCGAACTCCATTTTCTAATACAAATATATATATATGTATATATATAAGCAAAAGCTAGGGCTGCAAGTAGACAACACCCAAAAAAGGAAGAGCAGATTAATCCCGTTCAGCACATTCTTCTTGCAAAAAATATTGATAAAAATTGAAATGGCAATAAAAGATACAAACCAAGAGTACCTTGCTCTCTCTCTCTCTCTCTCTCTCTCTCTCTCTCTCCCCTCCCTCTCTCTCTATCTCTCTCTCTCCCCTCCCTCTCTATCTCTCTCCCTCACTCTCTCTCTCTCTCTCTCTCTTACTCACACACACCTATCTTGCTCTCTCTCTCACCCATTGTCTCTCTCTCATTCTCACTCTCGCTCTCGCTCTCTCTCTCACACCCCCCTCTCTCTCTCTCCCTCTCTCTCTATCTCTCTCTCTTGGTCTCTCTATCTCTCTCTCCCCTCCCTCTCTCTCTCTCCTTTCACTCTCTCTCTCACTCATTCTCTCTCTAGCTCTCTCTTTCTCTCTCACACACTCTCTCTCCTCTCTCTCTCACTCATTCTCTCTCTCTACCCTCTCTCTCTCCCCCTCCCTCTCCCTCTCTCTATCTCACACACTATCTCTCTCTATCTGAAATCATATCAGGTGTTTTCAATCTTACACTATATATTTGTATTAGTACAATATTAATATTGCACAGGTCCTGTTGATGTTATCATTTAACCAGTCAAGTAATCAATCAATTGTTTTATATATCATATACATTGTATCTTGCATATATTGTATTTTATATCTCATACACTACAAGAAATCGTTATTTTCTGGTGGTCATTTCTGCCAGAAAAAGAATGAAATCCATCGATAATTTATATTTACGGCGAAAAATTTTCCGACGTTAAATCACGCATTAGGAAAAAAATCAGCAAAAAATATTTAGCGCCCACACACACACACACAATGTATCTGTCTCGAGGCCAACCCAATTGAAATCAATCTATGTTAACCTCGATTTTGGCTTGCAGATTCACACCGTCGATCGCCAATAAAATTCAGATCGAGTCGAAATTGAGTTAAAAAGTCAACTATATCACATAAATTTAATATGAAGTATACTAGATCGTATAAATTTAATTCGATAACATTGGGTCTGAGTCGACTCGATTTGAGATTGATTTGACCTAGACGTCATCTCCAATTATTAAATTGCGTTGATTCATGCCCAAATTAATGCAATTAATAATCAATATAAATTTAATTGGGTCTCGACGAGTAGATTCGACTCTGCTTGAGGCCACAATTATTGAAAATTAATTTGGTTATTAATTAAATATACTTAAACGAGCGAAGTTGAATTGATTCGACTCGAATTGCACATAATTTAAAGCTCGGCGGCTTTAATCGACTCAATTTAATGCAATCTGGTTTAGTTTTAATAGGATTAACTCAACCTCATTCATCTGAACAAACCTAAATCCAAATGTAACAAAATCTGGCTTATTTTGACTAATTAATTTAGCCAATCAGCCCTCCAAATCCCTTCAAATTCATCAAATTAATTTAGCCCTTAGATTGAAATCAAGATTGGGAGAGCAAGATCATAATTCTCAGTAATTAGAACTTTATAGGGCTTAAAAAGGAAGGGGCGGGCTGTAGAAGGCCATTCCGCCTGTACTTGTTCGTGCGACCCGAACCGGAGAGGGCGAGAGCGAGTGAGAGCGGGAGGGCGAGGTCCGTCTTGTGCGATTCAGAGAAGAAGATCGACATCTGGTAATTTCCTTCTCCTTCTTCAAATAAAAAAGAACAATGATAGAAATCACCATATAGAATATCTAGTCATTGGGCCAGTGTAAGCAGAAGCACCCTTTGAAACTTGATGTCTAGACTTGCACTTTACTCAAAGAATTTAGTTTCAACCAACACAAAAATGCTCAAGATGAAACATAAATTTTATTATTATGTAATTTCTCAAATATCATATGCCTCAATGATCTTATTTATAAAGAGATTTGAAAATGAGTAGTTTCTCAAATCACTTAAGATGTGGTTAAAAACTACAATTCTCAATTTCAAAATCCTAAGTTCTAGCCAAATAACCAATTTCCAATCACAACTTGGTTAGAAACAAGCCATTGGTGTTGCTATGATAGGGAAGGAAACCAACTAATATAATATGTAGTTCCCACTATCAACAATGTATTATAGGGTCAAGTGCATGCTAATGTAGATCTTGTGCATTCATGCAGATGTGCAAACTTTTCTTCATTCACGATTTTCTTTTAAGTATATACTTTTTTTAACTTTTGTTGGACAAGTTAAATTATCATCACTTGCAAATCCTTTTGTTTTATATTCTCATAATATGTTTTATTAATTGTAGAAAATTATAAACTTATTTAAATAAAATAAAAAGAAATTTTTAGGTTGAGATTTTTTGTTTGTTTTATAAATTTTTATCTCATTTTTTACTTACATTGTATTGATTTTATGTGAATTTTTATTTCAGAGTACCTTGTATTAGCTTTTGAAAAAAATGCAGGGATATTATATGTAGGGTTGAATAAAAAACAAGGATATTAGAGAGAGGGAGGGAGGGCCAATTTTTTCTATCTTGATAGCATCTCCTAGAACTTATCTTCTCCTCTATAGCTTAGTTATGTGAAAATCGGACCGGACAACTTATCGGAAGAGTGAGAGGTTCACGGTTCGACTGGGGTTAAACCGGATGATGTAATAAATATCAATTTTATTATTTTTTTAAAAATCACCAAAATAATAATACTATTATTATAAATTCTATGACAAAAAATTAAACAGAAAACAAAATTGCTTTGATTGTTCAATCTTTATTTATAATTTTATATGATTTAAATATTTTTAAGTAACTAAAATCATTCTGGATACATTTGCATATGCATAGTAATTTGATATATCAACCAAATCCTTGTCTAAGAAATTCTTCTATACCTCGGTATTCATTCTGAAATTTCCATTGGTGACCTTTGTTTCTAACTTAAGTCATATGCAAGGTTTTCAATTTTAAGATTTGATTGCTTGTTTGTGATTCAGATAATGGGAATAAACAATAAAAGCGGGCTGTCGTCTGATTCGTTTTTCCACTACAAAGTGTTGTTTAGAAGATAGCCATAGCCAATATGATTTAAAAGAACAACTTTTGTATTAAAAAAGAAGAAACTCATTTGGATTTTTGAGAGTAAAAGAAGTTGCAGCAACATACTTTGAAATGCACAAAAAAAACTTACTATTCAACTTATGAGCAAAGCAACTTGTAACCATATAATTAGAGAAGGAAGAAAACCTGTAGCTATTAGGACTTCTTGCTAATTAGGAAAACTGAAGAGAAGAAGAAAACCTCTCAGCTCTCGGACCTTCGGTTGCTGCAAATGGCGAATGAACCCGATTAAAAAAAAAAAAACTCACATGCAAATAAATCCTCAAACAAAGGCCACCATTGTTCGACCAAAATGAGAGAGGAAAGCATGCCCCAAACAAAGACTAACATGCGAATGACGTGCGCACAAAAGAAGAGGTCGTTCGTCTCTCCTAGCTCCATCTTCGTTCGTTCGAAGCACACGAGCCAAAGAAGAAAAGGCGAACAGCTGAAACAAAGCACGCGACAAATGAAATAAGTTTTTTTTTTTCACGTAAAGAAGCATCACCATCGCATCTCAGCCGTCCGATTTATCATTTTCGCTAAAATGGCACGGTAGCAGAACCGCCGGTTCGAGCTGCTGAACGACGGTTTTATGATTTACTGGTTTTGGTTTGAACCGTAACCAGCTGGCCGACCGGTTCGCATTTCAACCGGTTGAACCGACCAGCCTGGTCCGGTTTTAAAAACCTTTGTTTCGAACTATTATATAATTAACTATTTTCTACTTCATATGTGTTGCATTACTTCATTTCTTTCAAAAAATAAATTCTCATTTTTGTTAATTTCAAGAACAAAATGAATTTTGAAAAACACCATTTAAAAAATTACACAAAAAAAAACCAGCACAGAAGTTTGTAGATTGTTAGATTGGCAAAGAAAAAGAATAGTGTTAAAAACATAGCACAAAAGAGCGAGTCAGAAATATCACCTACTAAAGTACTAATACAAAAACAGCTTAGGATCTTACAGCAAAGATCGGCTATTACAAATTTGGGAATCAAACCCTTCCTTCCCAAAGGCATTCCAGCTTGGGATTTGATTTCGACAAGGTTCGGAGAAGATTTCCGATCTCCGGAGGTGGATTAAGCCCCATAGAGCACGCCCTCTTCCAGCGCTCGAGCCTACTGATCCCGACACATGGCCCGTACCTCATATCCATGTCGAATTGCTTCAGTTTCTCGTCCCCATCCCCGTATTCATCTATTAGGGCAAGCCCATTTTTAAGATTTGTCCAATCTGTATGCTGTGAGATAGAGAAATCGAAGGAAAACATGAAAGAAGAAATAACTACCTTGGCGATCAAACTTGCCGTGGGCCGTGAGGGATGGGGTTTCTGTGGGCTCCGGTAGACAGATCGTGCCGACGCTTGATTTGCCGGACTTCTTCCTGGAGGAGGAAGCGAGTTTCTTGGATACGCCTCCCTTCTTCTGCCGGAAGTAACCCTTGATGTCGGCGGAAGCCATCCCACTCTCTGTGTGATTTCAAAATTCAAAATTGAGCGTGGAGCTGGAGGAAGACCAGGAAATATCATCTATCTTGATAGCATCTCCTATAACTTATCTTCTCCTCTACAGCTTTGATGTTCTTATGAATGCTTCAACTAATCTTTAGCTGGAAGGTTCCCTCTCTCTATCTCCCCTCCTTTCTCTCATTCAGTTTTCCTCTTTCTTTGGCTTACTCCATATGATCCTTGATAACGACTTCAATGTCTCAGTGTCATAGTCTTTTGCCGCTTCTTATTGTAGAAAAGGTGTTCGATGATATGCCTTAACCCTGCTCTTATATTTTTATTGCCTTACTATTTTGAACATTTTGAGAATGATGTTTTAGTGCAGTGCTTTCACAGCATTAAGCGTAATGCAATGTACAATGAATTATTTTCCTTCAATGCGCAATGTGCAAAATTAAGATGCTCTTTTATGAATTAGAGTGTTCATGACTTGTATGTCACATACACATATATTATGTGCATGTAATAGGTCATTTAATCAATCAAATTTAAATCACATCAGGTAATAAGTTTTCAACAATATAATAACATGTCAAATAGCAATAATTTCAACTATCTAAAAGCTAAAAAAAAAAGATTAAAGACATGATTTATAAAGTGATGAAATAATATTTAAAAGTCAAGAATAATTGTGAGACTGAATGACCTACTAGAGATTTACAGGTGGAGATTCTCTCCATCATATTTGGTCGTGTTTCTTTTGTTACATTAGCGTATAATTTGCATAGGATTATGGAAGACTTATGAGATTTTGCTACCTATTTATATATCACCAAGACAAAACTATTGGCACTCTTACTAAGTCTAATTATTTGGATTTTTGCTCTGCAATCATTTATTTTCAGCTTATGACTGTTTAAGTTTAAATTTTTTCAGGTGATTCTGAGTACAGAGCATCTATTAATCCTTTGAGCCTGATTGATAGATCACTTAGGCGTTTGGAAGAAGAAGGAACAAGGGAGGTTTTATAATTTTTACTGTTCAGTGATTTATGGAAGAGACAATTGAATATTGCTATCAATACAATGGTAGACATCTTTCTGTTGCTTGTGGTGGCCCAATTTTTGTTTCCAATTATGTTGGCTCTATGACCTCTGTCCCTGACTTCAAAGCCTCCTTGCTCCAAGAAATACGTGTATACTAGTTGATATTAGTCTAATCCTTCCTTTATTAAGAATGGAGGAACGTTATAACATGTTGCTGATATATTTTTTCCAAATCGTTTTCAGGATCTGGAAGCTGTATTGATTTTGGCTGATGATTTCATTGAAGATCTCTCGTATGGATTAATTATATTTGATTTCTTTATTCGCTTGGGCATTCAGATAATGATTTGAATTGCTCTCCAAGAGATACTATGCTTTTTTTTTATACCCAAACTTGCAGGGTTGATGATCTCAAGGTTTTTACGGAGGAAGAGTTGGTAGAGATGGCTCTCAAAGAAGAATTTGATGAATTTGAGGTGCATGACTTTTGAGAAGTTAATCTGATATTTTACCTGTGTGCTAATTTAAGATATTAGTTATGGTTGGTTGCAGCATGCTTCTGGGAACGATGAGCCATTGCAGATCCTAGAGCTAGCTAATTCTACTGATGACCAGTAAGTTTTGCAGACTTGTAATTATTGTTCTTGCCTATCATTAACAAGATTTTTGGTGTTTATTAAGAAGCAAATTGGCTACTATTACAAAAAGTTTAGGGGCTATTTGCGATTACGTTTTATTTTTGCTTTTAAAAAAATATATTTGATTTGCATTTTAAGCTATTCTTTTTTAATTTTTGAAAACAAAGTAAGAAGTTGATAGGAAATACTTGAGTTCGCAAGTAACCTAACCAAAATCGGCGAACATTCACAGCAAAGCTGCTGTCCACAGCAGGAGAACAGCAGAAATCTGCTGTTTACAGCAGAAAAACAGCAAAATCACAAGGAAATCTGAGAGAAAACTCAAAGAAAAGTTTGTATTCCACTAGACGATGAATAAAATAGCAAGATACAATTGATCCTCAATTCGAGAGAAGGATCGTTCTCTCCCAAATCTCTGGCAACGCCAAGAGCCCAAAGAAAACCTAAATCTAAGAGATCTCAAATTTCAGCCAAATTCAAGATACTCAAAACATACGAAAATCTACTATTTAATGCATACAATTCAAAAGGAATTTCCTAAACAATCCCTACAATCAATTTCCCTCCTAAAATCCATTAAAAAACCTTCCAAAAACCGTCCCGCAAGGCGTGCGTCACGCGCGGCTTCCGCCCAGGCGGCTTCCGCCCAGGCGGCTGCTTTCTCCTCCTGTTCGCGATATTCTCCCGTGAACCGGTCCCGCCTGGACCGGCTGGACCGGTCTAACAGAAGTTTTTGAAAATATTTAAGAAAAAGTTTAGGTATTTTTTATGTGTTTTCATTTTATTTAAATTAAATTTGCCCCAAATGATGGCCCCTGCCTTCTACCACTGGTCAATGTTGTTGTCAGTTGCCATCATCTCCCGCCTTCGAAGCCTTAAGCAACATGCAATAAAATTAAAATAATATTTATTTAGAATATTAAGTAGATTTTTATTTCTTATTAAAAGATAATCAAAACAAAACAATGAACATAAAGGGAAAAAAAAAACAAAAACCGTACAACACTTTCTTGTAGCTAGGGATTGGATTGACATTCTGATGTTGACCACTAACCACTAACTTTTCGGTTGCCCCACCTCACACGACCCTCTTCCAAGCGATACAATCATTTGCCTAAACGACACATCTGCCCTTTCCTTTTCTAAAAAAAAAATGCACATAGGAACAATTATAGGAGGCATTCGACACACACAGATGCAGGAAACGACTTTGACGCTCCCTCTCGCCTCCTTCATTTTGCATGCAAAGACCTCCCCCCCCTCCCCAAGCTTGTCATCATTCCCCCATCACCCGCTTTAAGTGCAAGGTGATAAATTTGAAATCTTAAAAATAAACAAGAAAAAATCAATATTAAAATCCCTAAAGTTGCTGCTAGTATACGCTGGGTACTCAGTGCCTATCTCACGACTAGCCTTAAATTGAAAGTTCTCTCTCGTTATCAGGAGGGGTAATTAACTATAGTGGCTTGCACCTATATGAAACCATAACTCAGATCATGAAGTCTTCGCAAAAGGGTGGCGAAAGATCTGGGCAATGTCTTATCTAAAATCCAATATGCCTTCTGAAAATCTATCCTAGAACCTAAATCCATTAAAACTCTCCTCGTCAATAAATGAAGGAGTGGAGAGGCCGGAATGTGAATTTTCGAAGCCCACATATGAAAAATTGAAATTTTTTTCTCTTTACGCTTTTTATGTATTGTATAATTATTAATTAAAGTTTAGTTATGCTATTTAATTATGAATTGATTAATTATTTGAATATTAAACTAAATGTAGTAATTAAACTAATCAGTGATAAATTATACTAATTATTTATTAGTTCATTTTGTCATATAGATTGATTCATTAAATGTTTAATTAAGAAATTTGAATTAATTAGACCAGACAGTTTGAATTAATTATTATGGTAATAAGGTTCTTTAATTATTTATATATTGATTAAGTGATAAATCAAATATCAAAGTTAATTTGGTATTAAGTAATAATTAATATATTAAATTGTCCTAATTAATTAGGTTTGTTAATTTTAATTAGATATTTGTTAATTGTTGATTATTAGTCCTTAATTCATTATAATTAATAATTAAAAAAAATATTTTGATGAATTATGGCTTACTTCATTATTAGGTGATTAACTTATTATGTTTAATCAATAATTAGGCCGTTTTATTTGTAAGATTAGTTATTCTTATTAAGGATCGATTTGGATAACTATATAATAATTGTATATTAAAATTTAATTATTTTAATTAATCATACATTAATTGTTTAATACTTCAATTATTATTGTTAACTATACGTCTATACATTAATTGATAATTATGGTAGTAAACAAACCTGATCAATAAAGGCCAATAAATCATTAATTAATAATTCAGATAAAATATGCTAATCATCGTTAACAAACTATTATTTTTAATTAACTAGGATATATAAATTTCTTTTAGATGAATTTGTAATATTATCTTTTTTTTTTTTCCATTTAATCAATTTCACAACAGTTTTTTTTTATATAACAGCTTCAACTCTTATAATACTCTAGAGGACAATATTAATAGTAATTTTTATCAAATAGTCATTTACTTTACAACACAATATAAGGCAACACAATGCAATGCAAAAGAACATGATTCAAGGCAAGGATAACTTTACAAAGCAGAGCCTTAGATTGCAGCCATAATTACTGTGAATTTGAAAGCACGCTTTATGTTACCACATGTTTAAAGCCTTCTCTAATGAAGCCTTAGACCGCTCGATAATGTAAAATGCATGTTTAGGTTAAGCGGTTAGAAATCTTTACTAGTTTAGATGGTCTAATCTAGACATCCAAAGTGAAATGCATGGTTTATAACTCTAGAGTTTGTGGATATGAGGATGGTTTGATAAATATAGATTGACCTGTTTATGACCCCTAAATATCGGTATGATTTGGGTTGTGTTGTTACGAATCATTCTAATATGACTAAAAGAAGAGGGTTTTGTCAACCCAAAATGCATACAATTCATCAACTCCTCAATAATTCAACTTACCAAGTTAATTATGATGCAACAAATTTGATTATGACATAGGTATGCCTTTCAATCGAAGTAGACTTGGATAGACCCTTAGTGCAAAAGCCCATTGTCAATGTAGGATTTGGCATGCGGTTGATCTACACAATCTTAATCTGCATTGAAGAATTTTTTTTTTGTTGACTTAGATTTTTGACCTTTTGTACCTATGAATGCTCAATTTGATATGATAAAGAATGCGTTTTCACTTTTTTTCTTGGTTTACTGCTTTGGGAGCTCAACTAGCATTACATCATCCTATTTTATTGGAAAGAGCATCATTTATTGACAAGAAGGAAGCATTGCCAATAATAATTTCTGCTGATTATCTTGTTTGCATCCCTTTATGCATATTTGTAACAACTTGGCTATGTAATGTCCGATTTTGTCCCATAGTAAGGCGTTATCATGGTGGACAAGAGGGAAGCATTGCCAATAATGCATGAATAGGCTTCTTCCAACTATAACACAAGTTATTTTGAAGTATCTTGCTTAAATGAATTATTGGCCCTTGAATGATTAAGAAATAAGAGAGTTGATGTATGTGGGCATAATTTTTGACCACCAATAGAAGAGCTGTATTGAACCATCGTGAAAAAAGTGGCAACAATTATTATTCTAATCCTGTTCTCATGATTTTGATATGACCCACAAATGATAAAGTGACTCGGTTATGGTCTTTAGCATAAAAAAACAAAAACAAATTGCATATCCGAAGGCGGAGACTTGGAGTGGCCATTATTTTTATGCGTGGTCATGTTTGGTGCCATGGATTGATTATTAAATGATTTATGTTCAATTGTATTATAAATTGAGCTAGTTAACCAAAATTTTCCACGTAAATCCAACAGTGCATCCCTAACTTCTTATAGGGTTTAGGGTGAAACGATAGATTTAAGATAAGATCACATATTTTGTAAACCTAAGAAAATTAATCATTTAAAAATTTTGTAATTATCTGATTAAAGGACATAATGCCAGTGCAAAATCGTCTATATTCACAAACCTGAATGCATGGACACATACTTGAAGAAAAGACATTATTGACATGACATTTGTTTTGAAGCTGATCCGATTAAATACAGAAAACAAAAAGCAAACATGGTGGCGCAAAATTGCTTTGGAACATCTCGATCGAAAGTGAAATCATTTAATCGTCAACTATTTCTCAAAATAGCCCGCATTGACATGTTTGGGACATAAAAAACAGTTAAAAAGACACTCATATTGCTTGAATTCCTACACGAGATCGAAACGAAAATTCACTTGCATGGAAGGCTATGATATGGACTTGGCATATGCGAGTGATGAAAGTCCAAGTGTTAAAAGTAGGCGTAAGTTAGGATTGAAATATGAATTAACTTAAATTGAATTAAAAAATTCAAATTAAATTGTGATATACATTAACTTATAAAAGTGGTAGAGGTGCTCAGGAGTTTGAGAGAGGAAGTGCGAGAATGAGAGTGAATCGAATGATTTATTTCATATGAAATGAGGGCTGAATGACCCTACCCTTTTTTTTGGGTTGGGTGAGGCACGAGTATAGGCGAGTGGGGAGAGGTATGGGGGGCTAATGTCATGAGTGCCAGAATGAGAGGGATGAGAAATATTTTTTTGTATGAAATGAGGGCCTAATGACCCTCTTGTTTTCGACTGGGTGGGCAAGAGTACGGGTGAATGGGGAGAGTTATGGGCAAAGACAATATAGTTCACATGAAAAACTATTACATTAGACCTTCACACATCTCAAATAATTGTGTATTCATGTGAATGACTTTCAAACAAAGCAAATGATCTATCTTATTATATGTCATAGTTTTACTAGTGCTTTAAGTGGTGCATATCAATCGCTAAAAGTACATCGTGCATGTCTCAAAAGACTGTATGCTTCCTTGAATGATTGCCATAATAACCCTTGTGCTTTTCTAGCTGTTATGTGTTCATGTGAATGGGATTTCCTTTTCCAAATACAACCAAAATAACCCATTGTTGCGGTTATGGGGAATGAAATTTTTTCAAAAAGGCATGCAAGTTCTGTCAAATTATTGATGATAATTTTGTCCCAATGTACTTCAACAAACATTTTGAATGCGTAAACTTAAAAGTTTGAGAATGTTGCGTGAATTGAAAATAAATTGAATTTAAATTTATAATGCTCTATGAAGCATGTAACCACCCAAAAAATTGTTATGTAGTCATTTTAAAAATATTGCAAACTCTTTTTTAAAAGTCAATGTCATCAATATATGATGTTGTCAGATGTGCTGCCTTGCCTATAGGTAAGGTTGCAGTCCAATATTTCAAGTTTGATCCCCCTCCTTATGGGCTCTAGTCAACAAGACTTGAACCCCTCGATAGATGTTCAATCAATAAATTTCAAATAGATCATGATGAAAGAATTATTTCAAATCAGACTTTGATTGTAATTAAGTAAATTTAAGAATAAGCATAGGAATGATAAATATGCAAAGATATTTTATTTTACTTTCACATTTGGCCTTCAAATCCTACCACTAAGGAAATTTATTTCAAAATTCAAACTCTTGAATCCACCATGCTTATATTGTAGCTTATAAAGTTAATATGTGAACTCGATCCCTTGTAATTCCTTGTAAGTAAAAAGGCATAGTTGACATGGTTCAAGCAGATCAAGTGCAAACATCAAAATTTGATTGGTCTATTTTCACAATTTGTTTGCACAAATGTCCCAAACATCTCATTCTGATGATGGCTATATTAACAATTATCTCATTCGGAGGGGACTTTATTTTCAAAATGCCCCCAAACTTCATAATGAACTATTGTGGGTCCAACTCTCCACAATAATATGAAAATAAAAAAATTTAAATCATAAAAATGTTCAAGTAGAATTATGGCCTTAAAGCTTAAAGTAATCAACTAATCATCCATCAACCCTTCACAATTATTTAAAAAGGGTGATAAATTTAAGATTAACCGCTACTCACGAAGAGCAAATGTATTAATAGCATATCGCTCACTGTCAAAAGATTTCATGCTAGTAAGATGTGGTATGTGTCCTCTAGTCAAGTGATTCAACATGAAGTTATTATGTAAGAAAATAATAAAAAAAAAGAAACGAAAAATGCCAATGAATAGTAACATATATGATATTGTCCTTATGGGTATCTCCTAGTCTAGTTGATAAGGGTTTTGGGGTCTTGCTCTTTATTTTTTGAAAGAGAGCGTAGATTTGAATTCCCCCACAGAAGTTCCCAAAATGCTAAAAATTTGACTTTTTGACACTAGTACCATACCCCCCTCTATTTATTATTATTATTATTATTTTAACGATGATCTAAAATTCATACTTATGAGTGGCAGGGGCAAGGGATGATGTATTATACTTGTGGGAGTTCAGGGGATCAGGGTGTGTGGGCTGCTGTGGAGATGCGCTGTGCAACATGCATTATATTTGCAATGAGGGAAACTTTAATCAGAGAAGGCAGAAAGGAATTACTTGATGGAAGAGGTGGGCTGTTTCAGGGAGGGATCAGCTCTGTTGGTCCGGAGAATGGATGAGATGGGCATCTTGCATGTTAAAACTCCAGTCTTTCATATTTCGTATAATTGCTTCATGCAAGTTCATTTGCAAAATTTTTCTGAATTATTAACTCTTATTTTCTTTTAGCAATTTTCCTTATTAGTAAGCTCAAGGACTTGATTATGTTATCTTTCATGAAATAATTGTTTAAAGTTCATGCTTACGGTAAACTATATATCTGATATTTCTTGATGTTCTTGCAGAGTTATTAATTTTAACAAAGAAATTGTTATGTCAAGAGTCTCACTAAATGGGAGCAGCACTTTGGAATCATCTTCATCATTAAATGATTCGTCCATGTGGATGTGCAGTACTGATGTTTCTGAAAAGAAGGTTCAACAGAAGCGAAGTAAGAAGAGAGGGAGGCATTTTGATAGAAATACTCGAGCCACTGAACTTGAAGTATGCTGTTTAGTTCATACCTTAGATTTTGTTTTCTTAGTTTTCAATCATTTAATTTTTGACACTGTTTATGGCTTTGTTCAATTGCATTTCACTTTTGTGTCAATCTATGTTACTATTTGTACCACATGTTTTAAAAACCCATTTCTGAATTACAAATTAAAATCTGAATGTAAGTTTATGATATTTTTGCTAATAATGTTTCGGATTTCAAGTGTTATTAAATCTTTCATCACCATGAATTTCCCAAGGTTGTTTTACCTTGTCCTATGCAAAGTACTCTTCTTGGAGAAGTTCATCAATATGATCCAATTCTACAATATGATCTAATTCTACCAAAGAAATTTATGCGGTATTCATCCATTTCTACCCTTGGCAGTGAGGCTCCTGTGGAGCTTTGCGGTTTGTAAATGTGTTTGAGAGGAAATATTTTTCTTGAGACAAGCAATTGGAGTGATTGGAGGATATTGGGGGTCTCTTTTTTCAATAAAATATGCCTTGACCTGGTAAATCACTTGGTTCCTTGTAAGCAATAAATTGTTATGTGAATCAATCGTAGAAGAATTGTATTATGTAGAATTCATTAAATGCTAAGGAAACTAGTATCTTCATGCAACATATCTTCTGATATTTGTAATTCCTAAAATGGGCATCCTTGACTATTGTTTGAGTTCATATAGGATTAAAACCCATTTTTTATCTTTGGATTACTTCACTATAATTTAGTAGTTTTTTGAATTTTGATTTGAAAAATTAAGAAATGGTGCTTTTCTTTTGCAAATTAGATTGTCTCATATGTTGTGATAGTTGAAGGGTTTAGATTAAGTTTTTATTTGGTATACTATTCTCAGGTTCAACACATTGTTACTTGGCTATAATTTAGTAATTTTTTTAAATTTGATTTGGAAATTTGATAAGTGGGTGCTCTTCTTTTGCAAACAAGATTGTATCTTATGTTGTAATTGTTGAATGGTTCGGATTAAGTCTTCATTTGGTATGCCTTCTTCATGTTGTACTATACGAAATAAAATTATTCATATGGCCAAGAAGTTATAGACTGTATATATGTAGAATGGAGATTTTAGAAGTACATTTCCCTTATAAATCAAAACTACTTTGAAAAATTGAGGGGAAGTTGTACCATTTATCATAATTAGTCTATCTCAACTATTTGAGGTCGGCTAAACGAATTCTCGTTTCTTATTCATTGTTGTTTGGTGCTGCATGAGGTGTCAAGCATATTCTTTGTAAATCTTAAGTAAATTCTATCCATATTACGTTAGGTCCGCCGCTTTTCTTTCCTTATCCTTTGACATAAATTTTATTTGTCTAATTGGTGTTCTTTTGGCACTCTTTTTATATTTCTAAACTATCTAACTGCGTTCAAATATCTCATTGTCAATAGATGCTGCTCTAATAATCCTTTGATATTCATTCCTAAATTTTAATCCATTATAATCTTTCCACACATCCATTTTAATATTCACGTTTCCTTCTACGTATATATGCATCAATAATTTTTTTTTTGCTAACCACTGAAATTTATGCAATCATAACCAACTTAATTACAGTTTTATAAAATTTATCTTTACATCTCTGGATAACCTCCTATTTAATTACATTCTTGGGAAAGTATTCATTTTAACTACTTAATTTAAATTACAAAAATTATGTTTTCATTTTAAACTCTAGATCCAAGGTAAATACATCTATTAAACCTGAGTTTGACTTTATCTTTTAAAAAGATTGATATTTGTTGATATCACGCCAGCTAAAATTACATATCGTATAGCTAGTCTTCATTGTATTAATTCTAGCCTTTTAGGTTTTAGGGTTTAGAGAATTATTCCAAGCTAGGGATATTAATGCAGTGATATTTGAGATTTCGTATAATGCAGTGGAATTCAGAATTACTCAAAACTATTGGGTGGTTGAATGATGTGTGGGGCTTGTTGGTGGCTTCAGTTGTTGTGAGAATCAGGGCTACTATAGCTATGGTAGCTATAGTGGCACTGTAGTGGGATATTGTAGCCATGCTACTGGCGTTTGACTTTGTGCTTTTGAAAAAATTTTGGAGTTTAAATTGGCGTTTTATTGATTGAGTTTGGGTATTTTAAATTAAACTAGAATATTCTTTTTTTTTTGTAAAGTTAATTTAATTTTAAATTTATATTGACTATGTGCGAACCTTTTTTACTAGCTTAGGTTATGCTGAGCTTAGGCATGTGATTCATAGCTTTTGGTTTGATTATATTTCTCTATCTAGTTTCATCTAGTGAGTGTGAGTTGAATATATGATTCTTTCTAGTGTTTTACAAGTATGACTACCAAATTTAGTGGAAGTATCTTCTTGTACCGGTGTGAATCCTAGATTTTCTTTACTTGGTAATTTTATTCATCGTCAATTTTTCTACATAATTTATTATTGTTTGTTTGGCGCTTTTGATTTTGTTGTCAAAACTATATCTTATGATTTTTTTAATTAATCATTTTGCTTGCTAATTTATGTTTCTAAATTCTTATTAAAATTTTTAAATGTTTGTGATTAACATTATCAATATGACTTAAACTCTATCGTTGTTTGTTTTCATTGAAGTAAAGTATTTGACACAATTGATAACTTGCAATATATGAATCCTCTATGACTACACATCACATATATTGCATTAGGAAACTTAATTCCGTGCCATCTTGCCTTGTATGGGATTTGTAGTACGTTTTTCTTAAGTCGTTTGGAGTTAATATAAAAATGTAAATAGAGGTTTTGCTTACCAAGCCTCAACTTTTATTATCTGAAGTTCCATCTTATTATTATTTTTCTTTTTTTATGACGTTCTACAATATCCACTTACCATATTTTTCATTTCAGCTGTGCACTTATGGGGCACGTATTTCCTCAGATGAAATTCATTAAAATACTCCATATTTTATGTCAACCTACGGCCTTTTAAACTACAGAGTTTGGTGTACGGAAACGGAGGAGCACCTTACCATACTTGAATAAATAAAATTTACTCTCTTCTACAATAGGTTTGAGAGATTGAGAAGGATAGTTCTAGTGGAGGGTCTATTTCACGTAGTGGATAGGCTATCCAAAGTACGTAGGATTGCTATGCGTTGCAATGACTTGTAGACTAAATTTGTTTGAGGGTTATACTCAATATTATATGACCATTTTGTATGATCGTGATACTTGGCACTTATAGACCTTATAGCATTATCTTGTCTTTCTGCCTAATATTTTCCTTGGAATGATACCATTTCAAGATTTTTGCCTCAGCAAAGGAGCTTGGGCATTTTGTAGCTATTTTTTGGTTTCGGCAACTTCGAATAATGCTTGCAATGTTTTGATCCCAAACTATTCTTTAACAGGAGAACCAAGGTTCATAATTGAGACTTGAGAGGGAGGAGGATTACAAGAGTTTACGACTCTAGGGAGGTGCCTTCACTATGTTGAACTAAGAAGGCACCTTTAGGCATTATTTCATAGCTATAGATTACTTCTCCGAGCTGTTTTGCACCTCGTACTTAGTGGGACAACAAGTAGGTTTGCTGTCTTTATCTTGCCATGCGTTGGGAAGCAGCAAACTATTGTTTTCCTTGCATTAGTCTTGCTGGAGATGGCAAACTTGATGCCATTTTCCCTCTTTTGCTTTCGAGAGTTCTTGTTATAGGTCTTGCTGTTTTTCACATCATGCACAAGGCAGCCGAAGCAGGTCTCAACAACTTCAACAGTAGAAGGAACTGGATGGCCAATCCTCTGGACTGCTGTTGGAATAATGGAAACAAGCAAGATATCGGCAGTTAGAGGAGAGAAGGCCAGCGTTTTTGGCTTTTGGAGGAGCTGACGGTTGGAGGTGAGGAATGAAAGAGACGAAGGACAATTTTGAGAAAATTCTACATTGAGTTTTATTGTAGGGAACCAACTTATTTATAGGAAGTTATTGTATTAGGTTAGTTTTTATTCCATCTTAAATATACTCTGCAAAAGTGGATACAATATACACAATAAAAAAAATTAGATAACTTCAAATTAAAAGATAATTAGAACATAATTCACTCTAATTCATAATTTAAAATTCGATTACAAATTCATCTAAAACAAGTTTAAAATTCAAAACTCATCCTTATCTCTTCTTAATTTAGTTTTTGATCTAATAACCCAAACTACCTACCTTCTAATTTTGATCATCAAGCCTCTGTCAGGTTGATCCTTCTTCGTCAGTGGACTTCTGTTAATCTCCATCATCAATAGTATTGATCCCGATATTGAACGGCCAGAATAATCTATTAATTCAATCTCTTGATCTTCCTATAGCTTGATGTTCAAACTATGAGGTAAACTTCTGTTTATGCTCAACTTATGAGAAGAACTTGTCATAATTTTTTTAGTGGTTGGTGAGATTGAGTATTCCTTTCATGATCTGATCCCCTTGTTTAGAACATTCCTTTCATTATTGTAAAAGGGGATAGAAAACGAAAAACGTGTTTTCTTTTGCTGTAAAGAGAAAGCAAGAGAAAATACTGTCCATGCGTTTAATTGCTGTGCTGGTAGCTATCTAGCATGTCTTAATATGTGAAATGGCACCTATCCAATCACAGAAATGCAGTAAAAGTCAATAAAATGCCCCCAATTCTTAACATTTATGTTCCATATGAACATAAAATGCTTTTGAAAATAGCTCAGCTGATTTTGTCCTTCGCTGGTTAAATTTTCATTCAAATTTTATTATCTTAGAATGATGAAAATCGGTCTAGAAAGCTAATTTTTTCTCCTCCAAAAACTAAGCCCTAATTTTATTTTAATATTGATGACGGTTGTTTTACTTTTTCTAATCTCAGAGTTGCTATTTTGAGAAAGTGAAACAACTTGCAAAAATCAAACAGAGACAGGATGAAGACAAATTAGCTGCCAGACTACATTCATTCAGGTAAATTTGTTTATTAATTTCATGTAATTGTTCCCTTTCTGTATGCTTTTCACAATAGTCAAGCATTCGAGCCATTAAGCTATGCTATGCTCTTCTTAAAATAATTATTTTGACACTTTTCTATAATATTACCTTAAAAGATAATTCAGGAAGGTTAGCTTGCCATTAAAATTTTTTTTTTGCATGTATTATACTTCATAGGCCTCCTTATATTTATCCAACAATGAAAATCTAGTGCAGATCCTTTTGTTCGCTAACTATCATAGGATTTTTAGGTTTGCCACATTATCGGTGAGCTACTAGGTAGCGTTGTTTGGGGTATAATCTCTCCCTTAACTGCTTCAGTTTTTTATTGTTTATTGCATGGCCAAGAAAAACTTAAAACCGGTTAAAAAATTCACGCAAATAGTATGCAAGTACCTTGCGATGCTCCATTTAGAAAAATGTGGCAGATTGGTGTAGATTGGCATTGACGGTAACAAGGCTAGCCTGGACATCTGACTTTATTTATTTGATTTCCTTGTCCATGTGTTTAGACTTACTGGCTTTTGTAATGAAGAGGGGAGGGGATGTGGGGGCTGGGGGCTGAGGGGGGGGGGGGGAGTGAGGGAAGGCATCATCAGGGTCGTAGCATCAGAGGTGGTGGTTGAGAGGATTGAGAGGAGAATAACAGCCTCTTAAAGATGTTAAAGAGGTAGGAGGGAGTAAAAGGCTTGTGGGAATGCAGCAGGATGATATGTTGGCAACCAAGGTGGCACCATTTGTTGCTTGTGATAGTGAGGGAAGGAAGAAAAACCCTCAGGTTTTTTGTTTAAAAAATTCCATCGGAACAATCTTTTTTTTATTACATAACATCACATATATATAGGATAAAAGGGGCAGCCAAACAACCACCATAATCATTAATTATGCCCATAATGGCACCTGAAAAGGCAACACAGGAAACTAGAAAAAGTAGCCACGGAACAAGCAGCCAGAGAGTGAACTGAAGGGGCACAAGGGGAACCTGAACATGCACACAGGGAACCGGATAAAAGCAGCCCACGGGAAAGCAGCCAAGGGAGGAACTGAAGGGAGCAGCTGGGGAACCGGAACAACAGCTTAGGGGACCGGAACAGACATCACAAGGGGGCTGGAACCAGCCAGGGAAGAAGAACCAGGAGGGAAAACCGAAGAGGCCAAGGGAAGGAAACCAATGGGACATAGGGAAAGGAAACAATTACTCCAAATAATGAGCTGAAACATCAGCTCAAGTAATAATGAGATAGAATTAAGTAGTTCCATTGTTTCTTAGACTTGACAATCTTAGGGTGTGCTAGTAGCTTGGGTTCTTCACTTTGATTTAGTTTTTAGTGTTTCAAAGTGAACAAAAACCCGAACCTATATATATTTATATATATAAAATTCTTCATTGTCTCGATAGGCCATTTAGTTAAAGTATAAATAGCCAACCCAACCGAGTAGCTTCCAAATTGTTTTAAACGAAGGGGAGTTTAAATTTTTTATTTTGATTTTGGTTTCATTCTTATCAAAGAATTTTTAGTTTTGGTAATTTCGGTGCAAGGTTTGGTTTCAGTTTCACTTGTTTTTCATTATTAAATATCTCAAAAAAAGTTGAAATATTGTATTAAAAATAATTGAAAATATTTAAAATATATATAAATTTTAAGATATAAAATAAAAGTGACTATTTGTTTATGAAGTAAAGAACCTTCAAATATATGATTTTCAATTATTTTGAACTTTTTGATGTACAGTTTTACATCCAAATAATATATGGAATTGAATTATTACATATGCTTATGTACATTTATATAAAAAAGGCAAAAAGTTACTATTTTAAAATTTTCATATTTTTTCATAAAAATTTTTAAGATGAAAGAAACATATCTTGTTATTTGGAGTCCTGATTTATGAATGCATAGCATGTAGTTTTAACAATACTTATTTACACAAAAAAATCTTATTAATAAGCAATTTAATTTTTTTTCTATTTTATTGTTGAGATAAATTTAATTAAGTTATTATTATGTTATTTAGATATTTATGGAGGGTTTTATTAAAGACCATTAAGGCAAATCGAGTAATTGAAGAAATTAAAATGTTATGCTGCAATTTATATTGTTAAGTAATTTGCTTAACCTATATTGAGGTGTCTGACGTGGTCTAGTGATTATAGTGAGCAAACATCTTGTTATTGTTCTAATGAGTTTTAAATTACTATCATTTTGAATTGATTGATTTGCACTCTTTTGATCCAGGTCTTTTTTTAATACCTGCAATCCCTATGCATTAATTTACTCAGTTTAGCGTTTTCATTCTCTTAAAGATCAGCAAATGATATTTCAATTGCTTGTTCTGGCAATGCCTCCTTGTAATTGTCCAAACACGCTTATCCCGTTTATATTACTTTAGTGTTCCTTTTTTTTCCCCATTGAATGCAAATTCTGCTTCTCTTGACTACTTCGTTGAAAGATGCGGTATAGATGGACTTGCTTGTTCTTTTAGAAATTTGATTAAAACTCAGCTTTTTCATCATTAAGGTCTACTTGGTGATATTACTATTTTGAAGGGCATTTACTTGGTAATCATACAGCATTTTAGAGAGGAAATATATATTTCTTTTTAGTAGCATTCTAAGGAATGTCCATCTAATTATAGATGAGTTAATTTCATATTCTCATCAAACTAAAATTTCCTACACTACCTCAACATGAGTTTAATATGTAACTTTATCCAAGTGCTCCTTGTTATGTACAAATCTAAATGGAGCTCAAAATAACTCTATCTTACTTTGCAAATACTTCCTCCTTATAGAAGTACTGAATACTTATAGGCATATAAATATTTAAGTCGCAGACAAGTTCTTTGCTTGGTTGAATTTGTGGAAATGCAAATATCATGACATCCTGAAATCATGTGTATACCTTCCTTGTTTTTTCATCCTTGTACACCCATGTAAATTTGTTTCTATGTTTTGATGCAGTGGCAACTCCAAATCTATGGAAGGCGCAATTATAACCCTAGATAAAATCGAGAAGATGCAATCTCTTAGGTTAATGACTTCCTCAGTCAAGGTTAGCCTTTGAAGCATCTGCATTCTTTTTATTACCACCTTTTAATATATGACTTATGCTTCATTTGGGATGACTTTTTATTGCTTTTTAAAACTGATTTTTAGTACATAAATTTTAATTTTTTACTAAAACTCTAAAAAACAATAAAACAATTATCCCAAACGAAGCCTCAGACTCTCATAAAATGTGCTTGTGTATATTTGGTGTCAATATTTCATTGTAATTTGATATTATAAAGCTTGGAGCGTGTGCATTCATTTTAATTTTCTTAGAATTTTTTGTTGCATCTTTTAGTAGGCATTTTAACTATTATAATGTTAGTGTTGTTAGAGGGCAAGCCTTGAAGCATTGGTTAGCTGCCTTCATTGTATCAGAAGGTTCAAGTCAGAGAATTGGTCTGTTTGTTGTGTAGAGATAAAGCTGCATACATTACCCCTTCCTTAGATCATGCATTTGCGGGAGCCATGCATTAGAGACTTTTTATCATATAATTGTCATCCACTTCATAAGCCTTTCCAGCTATTTGAATTTTTGAAATATCTTTTATTTTGGTTATGAAGTTAATTTGAAAATATCCAGTTATGTACATTTGCTGATCCAGTTGGACAATTGGTAAAATGAGGGAAGCCATTGCAGCGGCAACAATGTGAATGCTGCTATTAACCATGCCAATTTCTAGGTTTCTGAGAAAAACAAGAATACATTCAACTCAGGTTTTTGGAGATGTTGTGGTTGGGTAGTCAGTGAAGTTAGATTGAAAGCAACAACGTCGAGTCTTTAGTCCTTCTCCTTGATGTGGGTTTATTGGATTGATGTGTGCAGACGTAAGAAGTTAAAGAATAGAGGAAGGGGAAGACTTTTGCTGTAATGTGGTGATTGACTTAGCAGGAAATGGAACATATCAACCGTAGAAACAATGGCTTGCTTTTTTCCTGTAAATGGCTCATGCACTTCAATGTTTTGGGGTTTGGAAGGTTTCAGACATGGAAGAAGAGGGGGCATCACATCTTAGAAGAAGAGAAAATATTGAGGAAGGAGGAAATCTAGTGTTATCGTTGTTGCCGTGAGGCATGCCCTCTTATATAAGCATTCAAAAATCTTCAAAAAACCAAGGGTCATATCTCTAAGGCACCTTATTTATAGAATAAAATTCATTAACAAAAAATTTAATAGATAAATAAAATGCTAATAATGTCCATACAATTATGTCATATATATTGTGACACAAATCAAATGGTATAGTGGCAAAACTATTGACATAAACTTGGCCGCAAAATTATAGATTCGATAAGGAAATTGAAATAAATGATTGAAAGAAATGAAAGAAAGGGGCCCAAATATCAAATTCCTAATTTATAGTTATTAAATCCTCAAGTCTAGATTCAAAGCTGTTTGTGCAGATTTCCTAAGCAAAAAAATATTAGTATAACAAATTTCCATTCACCTTAACCCGGTTTTTATGAAGCAAAGAGAATTTGTAGTGATAGCCTAACTAGAAGTCCAAACTGTTCCTAATGGCTTAATATATAATAACTTTTATGAAATCAGTAAATGTCAAAGAGAAAATAGTTAATTCCTAAATAATGCTAATCCATAAGGAAACTTTTATCTTAATTATCTTCAATCCGGCTACATATATTTCATGACTTCAATTCCCCCCGCTGGAAATAAGTCTCCTTTACAAAATAAGAATGATGTAATTTCTCTAGAATGTTGAATGATCAATAATGCATTCCATTGAAAGAATCCTATAATCTCTTAAAGGCTGACAATATATGCATCTTGCAAGAACAATTGTTGCATTCCGATATTCTATTAGTAGAATCTTCATCATTAGAATCTTCAAATGTAGACGCAACAAGTAGTAGAGGCTTAAATGTGCCTCAACTTGGTAACATAATTGCATCATTAAAATGTGCACAAAAACTAATGGCAAAAGATAAAGCATTTACATACACAATATGTGACGCCCCAGAATCAAATTTGAAAGAATTATATATTTTATCTTTTTAATTAATCATCCATAACTTGTAAACAATAAATTCGTATATCTAATGAAAATAACTAACAATTACGTACTTCAAAATATTGCACTATATTCATTCTCCCAAAATGAATATACAATAGCCTGGAGATTAGTACAATCATTAATCTATCACAAGCTCCTAACTACAATAGAAGAATGTAAATATAAACAAAATCAAATAAAAACCTAAGGATCTTTGTCAATCTCATTCTAATTGGTCATGATCCCATCCCTAACCTCAAATTATTTAAACTACATATAATGAGCTAAAAGTCCTGCAAGAAACCAAAATTCTAAAACTGCTTTCAATGCTTGGCAAAAGAATTAATATTTATGTTCAATTCTATTCAATATCAATCATCACTTAATATGGACAATAAAAATCTCAAAAATCAATATGATCAGTAAAATTAAAAGAGATCTATCAAATTATAAGACATACGGTAAAGAGTAGTATCACTCAATGAATCATGTTAGTATGTTATGCTATGTTGTATCAATATTAATGCAAGTATGAGCTATCAATCTGTTAATCAGTTTAATGTATTATCAAGTAAATATCATCATGAGTATGATTATGAAAAGAAAGGCCTGACATTCAATTTTAATGTGGTGTTTTTTTTTTTCTCTTTTTTTAACATCTGTTATCTGTCATTGCTCTTAATCTGTCAAATTTCACATGTGATTTTTAATAATCATTTAAGAGTCATCACTTTCTACCCGTCAGCGTAATTCAATCAATCAGTTACAAGCTACAACTAGGATTACACCACAAATCATTTATTTAACCGACCGACCTGCGCAGGGTATTATATATTAAGAGTCGTATTCATTATAGTGTTAACAGTCAGCCTTTGTTGCTTATATGCAAATTTTATCTTTTTTTAATGCAATGTAAAAGCCAATATTATGTGCAAAATGCAGAAATATATAAATACAAGGAAATCTAGTGCACTATGCATTTACTTCAAAAAATCATATCTTTCAATTTAACTGGTGAAAATTCAATATATTTGTGTCGAAATTCTCATATTGATGAGATTGATCACATGCCAAAATTTATGCAGTGAAAGTTTTATCAATATAAACTTATCCACCTTTTTTTGTAATAGAAATATAAATTTAATCAGAAAAATACTAAAAACATAAAATTATTGAAATAAGAGGTAGGATAATTATTCCTTACAGCGAGCGAGACAAACAAATTTTTTAACTAAACCGATTGAAGAAAATCATTCAACAACCTTCAAATCCTAGCTTTTTTTGTTCTCTCCTTTGTTTTCTCTCTTAAATTCCCTAAATCCTCTATGATATACGAATGAGAAGAAGAAAATGTCATATGAAAAGATCGGTAGACGGATTTAGATATTTAGGATTAAAATAATAATATTAAATATTATTTAATTATATAATTTAATCCATTGTCAATATAAAACTCATATAAATTCTTTTGGGACTTAAAAATTTTTAGAAAAATATTCATAAAATAACTTTTTTTATTTAGAAAATACTGATGAAATTAGTTTGTAAAACATACACCTGACGGTCTAAAAATCCCACTTGTACCTACATGTGTCAACTTTTTAAGGATTTGCACAAGCATCCAAAAATTACGAAAAATTTATTATAATTATAACACAATAATATCTATCTTCAAATTTGGCTTATAATGAATCTTAAACAAATTATTTGTTTGAGTCAAAATACAGGCTATCACACATTAGATCTTCCATATTGATAATTTTAATATGTATCTTTTTAACTTGTATAGGTAAAGCCAAATATGTTGAGTGAAGATCATGTCCAGAATGGTTGATAGATTAAATCATAGTTATTCATGAAGAGTCCCAAACACTATAATGAGTTTGCTTGAGAACCACATACCTTTCTTCATTTATGATAAAATTTATTTAAAAGTTAATATTTAATTCATGCAAATGTTCAACACAATGCAACAAATGAAAAAAAAAAAGAACACTCCTATTGTTGTGGACAAATCTTAGGAGCTAATGATAATGATGCCAATGCAAAAGAATTATAAAATGCATGCTTGTGGAGTGCAACCACTACAAACTATCTAATGGTTAAATCATAAAGAGGAGGTGAATAAATACATTATTTAGAGTCGAGTTCTTTGAGTTTTTACTTTTTAGATTTAGTTATAGTTTCATTTTCATATTTTATTCAATTTGTTTTAAAATTTAGATTCATCAATAACAATAAATGTTGCACCAAGTAATATATTATTTTCTTGGTCTATCCCAATATTCAACTCATCATCCCTTTTATCTTAAAGTTCTTCAATATTTTCATTGCCTGATTTGGAATATCATTGAGTCTTGCACGAGAGCATAATTCTTTGAGTGCATCAAAAGGAGAATACTTCGCTGTCCTTAACCACTTTTCAGTGTGCTTTTATGCTTCTTTCTTTTCTTCCAATTTTTCATTGCTCTATTTATGATTGTTATGCCTTCCTGTCTGTTTACTTTCCGGTCTTGTTATAGCTTTTCGTTTGTTAAAAATACTGTTCAGTTAGACTAACTGGTGCAACTTTTTGTAAAGTTCTTTAGGAACTGTTTGTGTCAGAAAAAACTTTTTAGGGACTGATCCATATTTTGGTTCAATATGGTATATTATCTAAGTATGGTTGTTTTATTTTTTGTAATTTGGCACATGACAGTGGGATCGATATGTTATTTTCTGTCAATGTTATCATGGTGAGGTAATTCATAATCATTTTTGCTTGAATAGGTGAAAGCTCTAACTTCAAATGTGCATGTACCTGTATACTATCCTGAAGTTATTCTTTGTGTTGAGATTTATCATCAAAGCACTTCGAAGAAGGTAACTTTATGTGGTTCAAATTAGAAGAAATAGTGTTTTAAGTTTTCACCAACAAATTGATTGAACTTGTTCTCTTTTGTTTTGTACGGATAACCTAAAGAAATCCTAATACTTTTTTCACTTTGATTTGGCAAAATGGCTCCATTGTCCATCTGCAACATTTTTGTCATGCGTCTCTCTGACAGCTCATTCCATAGAATGGTTAGATTCTTTCGGTAATTATGAATATTTAGTTGAGGCTGTTTTTTACCTACAATACTGAAGTTTTGTCATCTTCATGTTATTCAATTTTTTCAGCGTTATAAATCTTATGGATTTGGGACATGTTGCATCATTAAAAGATAGTTTTCTTCAATCGTTTCTTAGTGATCTTCAATCTTTCACCAATTGGCCGTGCTTCCTGTAGGTATTGAAGGACAAACATACTTTCATTTTGGCATTTCAGAGATGTTATTTGCCCAGACATAATCTCTTAATCTATGTTCCTACTCAGGTTCCACTTAAGACCTTTTGTCAGTGCCACCCATAGTAAAGAGTGAGTTGATTTTAGAATGTAGTTTATTATCTAACAGTTTCAACAGGAGTTCAATTTCAAAGAAAAACAGGAGCAACTTGCACTAGACCGAGCAAGTTGCTCCATTCTAGTTTTTTTCTTTTAAATGGGAAACTAGCCTTGTTTCTGGATGGTCGCCATTGTTTAATACATATCATATGGTCTTCAGGCAGCCAAATAGATTGCTACTTATGGATTTTTTTTATTTTTTTAAAAAATGGGCAACTAGCTTATAAGCCAGGTAAGTTATCTAATTCTTTTCTAAAGAAAAGCTTGGAATTGAGATGACCGTTGGGAGACTTTTTAACCGAGCCACCCCTCCATTTTATATATACCCATTCCTATTTTATTTTTTTCATTGCATCTTTCTCTTTTTCTTTTTCTTCTAATCTCTCTCTTTTGAACTGTTCAAATCTCTCTTCTTGAAGTTAGATTTTCTAGCTATTTGTTAACATTATCAAGAAATTTTAAGGTCACTTTATAATTATAATTTTGTCAAACTATTTTAATTTTAAGATTTTTTTTCGTATCAAAAAATATCATGGCATTATATATATATATATATATCACTTTTTATGAGCACATAAAAGTATAAAAAATTATTATGTTTAAAAATAATCGCCTTCAAAATTTATAATGTTTTTTTAATTATTGCTATGATTATATTTAATTCTTGCTAATTTTAGTAAAAAGCTAGAAAATATAGCTTCATGAAGAGAACTTGAACAATTCGCTTCTTAAAGCTATATTTTCTAGCTTTTTATTAACATTAGCATGAAATTTTAAGGTCAGTTTGTAATTATAATTTATTCAAACTCTTTTAATTTAAGATTTTTTTTACTGCTAATAGGACACAATGAAAAAGAAAAAAAGATTCATGTAGCTGACCTCACGTAGTGGGATAAAGGCTCGATGTTGTTGTTGTAGCATTTATTTTCTAATTGTTAGGATGAGTGTAGAGAACTCATAATTGATTTTTGTTTTTGTGGCGAACTAAGTATTAAGGTCTATCAATGTTGTTTTGTCTGATAGTTTAATTGTCATCTCTCCTACAAATTGGTGAAATATATTGGCTTATGGAGACAGACATTTAACTAATACCATGGTTTAGAAATGGGGACTGAATTGGTTGGTCAACCGAGAATTGGTCTGCCAACCAGTTTTGTCCACAACTAAAATATTTTTTTTCTAAGAATCAGGAAGAACCAATGGTTGGAACAATGAAACGAAGAACCACTTGTAGTTTCATTGAATCGCCTGGTTTATATTATGATCAAATTATCACTATTTATGTTAAATCAGATGTCTACAATTTAATCTTGATAGAAATAATTTAGAGTCTAAATTTACTAAATAAACTATAAAATTTTACTTATAACTACAAAAGAAAAAGGTTGGTAACTTAATATAGTTGTTTAAATTTAAAATTATCAAATATATTCCTTGTGTATGTTCTATATATCATAAGATTATTCTCCTTAATTTTTATCACATATTTGCAACATTATTATGCCTTTAAGTAACGTTTCATTAATATTTAATTATGTTATTGTTCAACTCCTGGTTAACTATTGGTTGAGCCTTTAAATTTTGTATTTTTCCTTCTTTAAGTTCAACGTCCAGTCTTGTTTTCAAAATCTTGACTAATACATTTAACAAACAACGATCTAACCTAATAAAATGTTAATGCCTAATATAATTTATATGCATGTTCTGGTGCTGTGATGAATATGGGAACCTAGCTTTGCCACTCTTTTGCCATTAAGAGTTGGCAAGTTGCTTATAGTATTATTCCCTACAATGACATACAACATCGTTGCGTTAAAAAATTAGTTTTGTGATAGCATAGTTCTTTGTAATTAATGAAAATATATTTAAATTATCACATCCAGGTGAACAACTCTTTGTGCGCCATGTAAAGTTTCAATATTAAGTTGTATTTCTGATGGTGGATCTACATGAGCCTTAATTCTTCGTAGATCTTGAAAGCTACCAAAAGTTATGAAATAACATTTTTAGCAAAGCATCAAACGGTACCTTGGATTTCATTAGATGTTAAGAACATGTCCTAGTATGGCCAATTGTTTCATAAAAATGAACATATCGTACAATAATGTGTTATGTACTCGTCCATTCAATTTTGGCGTCTTCTTACTGACGGTTTATCATCTCTTATGTTATATTTTATAATCTTCTTATGGTGTGCTATGTGCTCGTCCATGCATATTCATACAAATTAGTACAGAGTGCATGACATCATTCTCATTTTTTATGCAAAGCATTATTGTTTCTCGAAACACATGGAGATTCATTTAAATTTTTGAAGTGAAAGGCATCATAGCAGTGTTTCACAAATAAAGCTTGAATTATTCCACAAATAAAGCTTGAATTAGCAAACCTTAAGCAAACTTTAAGACACCACTAGAACATTTTGAAGCAATTTTTTTTTCATTGCAACACATCTAACACAAACATCATGCTATAATGCCCATTAGATGTCTCTCTTAACTAGCTGCTCATATGCTTTGACTTTTATTTTTATTATGCGGTTCATATGACGATCACGAATGTTATATCACCAGTATTCCCTGTGCAGTATGTTTTGCGCACAAAATATTAACATTTGCTGCCATATTTCTTGTGGGTGCCTAAACAATGTTTGGGTGCAGCCTAATGAAGTATCTCATGACACCCACACACCAAGCTGTTATGTCTATATGAAATTATGGACGAGTCACTTTGAAATTGAGCATGCCCTAATAACATCCAAAACTCGTTGCACATAGTCTCAACAACAACAAAAAAAGCTAAGGAAAATAAACCATTGTTTTTATGAATATCAACAATAGAAAGCAGCTCCTCTATATTTTTTTTATTAAAAATGCCACATTTAAACTAAGAATGGGCTGACAAAATATTCACTGAATTATATATACAATACCTGACTAAGTGCAATGTAAGGTTTCTATGAACCTATAAATGGAATGTTACAAATCTTCCTAACTGCTAGACATAGACTTAATTGCTTTCCATCTGGCATCACATGCTTTAATGTATAAAATTATACTATTAAATTTTTTGTACATGCATCCTATGATTTCTTTTGACTTCATGATGAGGACATCCGACGGTGGACGTTACTCAATGGAAGAAACGAAGATCAACAGTCGAGATCACTCTTTTTTTATCTTAGTTTATTAATTGTATTTTGATTTAATTTTACATTTTTTGTTTTACCCTTATTTAAGAGTCTTGTCTTATATAAGAATAAGGGGCAAAGTTGTCTTTTTTAATTTCTTTTGTTTTAGGCGAATATATATAGAGACCCTTGCTCTTGTATTAGAGGAGGGATTATTAATAAAAAAAAAGGTTTGCACTTGTGTTCTTTGGAGAGAACTTGGGTGAGATTTCTGTTGAAATCTTGTAGATTATAGAATATGTTGTTAGACCTAAACTAATGTCCCAAGGCTAACCAAGAGGGTGGTGAATTGGTAATTTAAAAAATTTAATCATTTTCTTGGATTTTAAAAAGATAGAAACCGATTAATGAACTTGAGCAAGTTGATTTTAAAGTTTTTCAAAAATAATTTTTTAACCACAGAAAAATTTAACTTGCAGTAAGTAAAAAGCTGTGGAAATAAAAAGACATAGAAGTTTATAGTGGTTAGGTCAAACACGACCTACATCCACTCCCTGAAGCCTCCAACTTCAGGTATTGCACTATACCAAAGTGACTCTCCTTTTGCCCCCACAATAAGGCGGAGAAGCCTTCACAAAATTCTCTTCCACCAAACCCCGGTGCGGCAGAGAACCGTCGTCCTTTTACATCCTCCAAGTGTAGGCAGAGAACCTTCATACTTTTACACCCTCCAAGTGTAAGCAGAGAACCTTCGTATGTTCACACTATCCAAGTGTCGGCAGAGAATCGAATCTTCTTGAAAGTTCTTCACACGGCAATCTAGAAGGACAAGAGAAAAGAGTGAAGTAAAACACAAATCACACACAGTGATCCTTACCCTTGAGTAACTATGTGAATCCTTCACGCTCCAATAGGAAGAAATCTCTTTCAAACACTCTCTCATTCAATTGCCCTTTACCATTCATGAAGACCAAGTGACAAAAAGATTAAAGGTCAGTTTCTAGTGGACCTTTTATAATAATATAATAAAGACACGAAAAATCATTTAGAAAACTGCATTTTTCAAAGTTGACCGTTCACGATCGTCCCATACGATCTAATTTCGTACGTACGAACAGTTCAAAAACTGTTGTGTACGAACTCATTGTAAATCGGTATGAACTCTATTCATACCCGATCATCGTCCGTACGAAATATGTTTGTCTGGTATGAATAGAAAATTTCAAAGCACATATGTACGAACGTCTGGACGAAAACAAAGCAGAGCTCTTCGTCCCGGTACGAACAAAAAAATATCGTCAGTACGAA